GGGGGTGTCGGGGGCTTGCCTTGAGGAGGGGAAGAGACAGTACGAGGTTTGGGTGAGGGGGTCGAGGCGGGTCACGTGTGGGCGGGCGGGTCGCGCTCTGGAGCGAGACTGTGGGAGCGGCGCTGACACTTCTGCTTGGCTCCCCGTGGATCGCCAGCCCTGGCCGTGGGTCAGTCCCAACACCTCTGCACAGGGACCTGTAGTCCCGGTCCTGTTGGCTGTGACTCTGATGAGGGTCCCTGTCCCCACCCCATTCTTTTGCTGTTCACTCTGGGCCGCAGACCCCAGCAGAGGGCCAATGGAGTCCCTGTATAGTCCTTAGTCTGAGGACTGAGAGGGGGCGCCCTCGCGCAGCGGGAGGCCTAGGGGTTTACTGAGGACTCTCTGAGATGGGAGGAAAAGGGAAGGCAGATTCCCAGCTGGCTTAGTGGTCCTGGGAATCGCAGGATGCTTTGTGTGCCTGCTGGTTCATCTGTGGCAGGGTCTCGCTGTAGCAGAACCGGGTTCCCAGGGGCCAAAGCACAGGCGTGGCCTCTGCAAGTGTCTCTGGGCCATCAATGCTAGCCCCTGGTTTTAACAAGGAGAACTCCCCTGCTAGGCACAGATAGCTGAGTGGGACCTGAGGAAATCCCACCCTGGGATGAAGCTCCCAGGACCCTTACCCTGCACCTGGAGCCTGGCCACTGTTTGAGTGAATGAGGGGTTCCAGGAGGCACCTGTACCTGGAGGAGTGTGGGGAGCAGCCTAGCTGCCTGTCCACAGGTGGGCATGCTGCTGCTCCCCTCCTGTTGTCGCTGGGCAGCTCCCTTCTCAGGGAGGCTGGGTACCCGGACTGTTTTCTTCTCCTTTTCTCTCTTCTCCCCCCCCCCCCTCATACTTGAGGTTTAACCAAGGGTTGCTCTACCACTTAGCTACATCCCAGAACTTTTTTATATTTTATTTTGAGACAGGTTCTCACTAGATTGTTGAGGCTGTCCTTGAACTTGGTGATCCTCCTGCTTCAGCCTCCTGAGTAGCTGGGATTATAGGTGTGTGCCACTGCACCTGGCTTCTTTTTGTTCTTTATGCTTCTCTATGACTCCATATTTCCTGCTAGGAATGTGATTCTGTTTGTAATGGAGAAAGTGCTTAGAGAACTAAGAAGCCCAGCCTCAAAGCTAGTGCCTGCTATCATGTGGAGGCCCTGGCTGGTCCTTGAGGCTCACAGTACCCTTCCCTACCCAGACTTGGATCTTAATGTTCAGGAAGTCATCCAGCTGTCCTTCTCCCATCCCCAGACCCCAGGCTCCCAAGGGGCTGAATAGACCCCATCCCCGTGGAGGGCCAGGCACCCAGTTTGGAGAAAATGGAGTTGGAAAGAGGAAAGCCAGCCTGTGGGAGGCAGCCCTCCCCACAGGCCCCATGGCTGCCTCTCAGATTGGAGGAGCTGCCAGGCTGGCTCTGGCTGAGCTGATGTCCTTCCCTGAGGTGCTACCACAGCAGCAGGGGTGGGGGGCAGGGGGCAGAGCACCCTCTGCCCTGGGCAGGCAGGCTGAGCTGTCCTGGCTATCCAGGACTCCGTGGAAGCAGACTCAGCCTGTGCTGGGGTCTAGCACCTGGGTCCCATGGGCGGCTCCTTGGGATGAGGTAGTAAGCTAGGCTTGCTGGCTGGCAAGGCAGCCTCCTCAAGCACACAGGTGTGGTCTGCTGCACACCAGCATATTCAGCAAACCATCTCTACATACCTAGAAAGAGCGCTCCTCAGGTGTCCGGCTGCCCTCAGTGGTACAGAGGTGCCTGTGGTGAAACAGCATCTGCCCACAGCTTAGGGCAGAGCTGAGACATGCAACAAACCAAGAAACATTTTTTAAAAATTAAAAAAAAAATTTAGTTGTAGTTGGACACAATACCTTTATTTAATTAATTTATTTTTATGTGTGTTGAGGATTGAACCCAGGGCTAGGCAAGCCTCACATGTACTAAGCAAGTGCTCTAACCACTGAGCTACACCCTCAGCCCTTAAAATTTTTTGTACTGGGAATTGAACCCAGGGGCACTCAACCACTGAGTTATTGAGTTACATTCCCCCATTTCTTTTATTTTTTTGAGACAGGGTCCCCCTAAATTGCTGAGGCAGGCCTTGAACTTGTGATTTTCCTGCCTCAGCCTCTGAATCTCTGGGAGTATAGGTGTGGGCCACTGCACCCAGCTCAAAATATATATATATCTTTTAAAAGTAGAAAGTTTTAGATTGTAATAAATACAGAGAGAAGTATAATGACAAAAATAACAGGCACGAGGGGCCAGGATTACTTCTTCAGGAAGGAGTGGCCCAGTGAGGAAGAGAGCCACAGGTGCAAAGGTCTGGGGCAGAGAGAAGTGTGTGGCTAGGCAGGTGAGGCCAGAAAGGTGGCGATCCTGGCCAGGTCTCCAGGAGGACTCCTCTCACTGTGTTGTGGGGATGGTTCTGTTTCTGTCCCACCACTGTCCCTTCTCCCACTTGCTGATTGCCCAGGCCCCCTGGATCAGAGAGCTAAGTGGGAGCTTCCTGATGTGTCCACGTCTTGGGGAGAGGGCCAGTTCCAGGCTCAGGAGGTGTCAGAGGGCTGACTGGGTGCATCCAGTCTGACCATGCATCTTAATTTCCACGTAACAAACCTGCTTCAGACCTTCCAGGCCTGGCTGGCTCCAGGAGCTGGGTCAGCAGAGGCAGTCAGTGTCCTTGGCTCCAGACCCTGTGCTGTCCACCAAGAGCAGGCCCTTCTATCTCTGACTGCCTAGGACTCCCCCTAACAGGGACTCAGGCCTGGGCCTGGCCCTACCCCCAACTCCAGCATGGGGACACTGGGCCCAGCAGCAGCCAGTGTCCCCAGCTCACCACCCTTCAGGGCGAAGACCCAGGTTTCTCATGGAACCCTGCAGCAAGACAGGCTTGACCAATACAGGTCCCTTCTCCAGGCCTGTTCTCCTACCACTGGGAGCGGGGAGAGACAAGAGCCTGGCCTCAGGCCCTGGACAGGACCAGAGGTGGTGCTTGCTAGAACAGAGCATAGAACAGCCTCTGATCCCTGGGCCCAACCCAGAGGCCAGTCCAATCACCCTATATCTGGGGAAACTGAGGACCCAGGCAAGGGGTCCACCCTGGTTACAGTTATCAGACAACCAAATTCTCCTTCTTCTCTCCTGAGACTCTGGTAGGGACAAACCAGTAAAGGGATATGAGCTGTCCTGAGACCCTGGCACTGGGCAATCACAGGGCCCACGGAGACCCTTCTAGGCCAGCCCTGACCTGGGACCCTGGGACCCTGGGAAAAAGCTTGAGGGAGGGACCCTCTGAAGGGAAGGTCTCAAAGACTCTGCCTCCTCTCCCTCACACCTTCTTTCCACCAGCCCAGGCTGGGTGCCCTTCTGTCCCAGGTCCCTTCCCTCCATCCTTGCCTTGGGTCAGGGCTGGGTATGGGGAGGCAATAAGCTGGGTCATGGCCCCTTCCCAGGCCCTGCCCTTCCTGGTGTAAGCCTCTCTACTCTCTGGAGATGCCTGGGCCCCACCTTGCCCCCCACAGTGATGGCTCCCCTGGTGGATCCTCCCAGAACCTGCACAGGACCTGTCCCCACCTGCCTGGCAGCCCCTCCCCAACTAGAGCTGTCCTCCTAGCTCCTGGGCCTCACACCTGCCTGACCATCCTGTTTGGGGCTCCTGAAGAAGGCTTCAGAGTACCACTGTCCTGGGATTTTTGATGCCCTGGATGTGGGTCCCCAGGGAGCCTGGGGACAGAGGGGAGGCCTGGGGGCGCCTCTGCCTACCTCTGCCTCCCTAGTTGCATATGCTCTGAGCAGTGCCTGTGCCCAGCCCCATGCTTCCCTGGGAGGATCAAGTGAGGTGAAGCCTGCCTGGGGACACTGCGGAGGTCCAACCAGAACGGGAGGATTAGCAGCTGCCGGGAGCCCTGGCAACCGAAAGATGGCCCCACGGACGTCCCAGGGACGGTCTCATCCCGTCTATGACCCCAGTGTGGCCACAATCCCCCTTCTGGAGCTGCACAGTGGCCGCTAGACACAGCACTTGCCCCCACCCCTGCCCAGGCAGAGGCCAGGTGTCCCTGCTCAGTGATCATTCACAAGCCAAAGGCCAGCTCCTTCCACTTGGCACACCTGAGGCCTCCTGTGCTCGTCTCCAGGCTGGGGTGCCCCCAGGTGGCGAGGAGACCCTGGTCTCTACCTCCCACCAACTCTTCCCACCAAGCCTTTGCCCTGGCTATGCTCCATGCCTGGTGCACCCATCTCCCTTCCTCCAGGAGGTACCCTGGCTGCCACAGGCTGTGTCCACCACCCTGCAGAAGCTCACAGGAGGCCCCAAGACCTGGGGTTCTCGTTCTCTCTTTTCTTGGGGTCGGGCACACGCAGCCTCCCCATGAACACTGATCAGCACACTCACTGGCCCTGGCTGCTGGAGTGGGCAGCATGGCCCATGGGGAGAGGAGGCAGAAGAGCTTGGCCTCCCGCAGGGCCAGCGAGCTGCCCGCCCAGCTGCTGTGACTTTCCGCCAGGCTCCCAGCAGGAGCAGGACAGTCACAGCGCATGCAGGGCAGTGGGCAGCCGTCTCAGAGCAGGCCTGGGCCTATGTGCCACGTTGGAGCTCTGCTGGAGTCTTGCCCACCCCCGGAACAGAGGGCACTGCAGATATTAGCCTGCGACCCGCGCGGGCTTCGCGAATGAAGGTTCAAGTCACGAGAAACCGTTAGGGAGTTTTGAATTAAAGAGACAGACTCTAATTACCTTTAAACTAGCTCCAGGACAGCTCCTCCTAGCTCCAGCCTCCAGCCACCTATTGTGGTAGCGAGATTT